CTATTTTGTTTTGTATAAACTGTTTTGTTTATCAGCGTTGAATTATTTATAGTTGGCTTAAATACGACGAATTAAACTCGAGGAATTATTATGATATAAATATTTAATAGTAACAAGTAAACAAACGTACTATCACAAAATATTCCTAGTGTGACCATTCAACGACGCTACCTTTTCGCCCTTAAAACGGCGATATTCAAATTACCATGGATCGTCGTTTCGCTGGGAAAGGGCGACTATTTGATAGTACTTTGTATGCCTAGTGATTTTAATCCAAAAGTGCCAACCTGTTACGAGTTCCTGACGTCACGTAATCGAGAGAAAACGTAGGATGGCGCACGGTGAAAAGGGGTTGGTCGGTCGTACGTGGGGTGGAACGCCTCTGAAGGGTGTAATATTGACGGTCGATGACGTCACGCGGCGCCTCATTGTCGGATTGTACACCGAGCAGCATCCCTTCTCTTGGCACGTTCGTGCAGACGCCCACGCGGATTTTAATGTCGTCCGTGTCGTGCTAAATATTGCACTCACCTTCCGACTCGATGATTAAAGTTTATTTCAGCGCGGGAATCGCAATCGAATTACAACGACCGCGAGGTGACTGTATAAAATTCGTGAGCGTCGGTCCTTGCAAATTATAAAGCGTAAATTATACGGATAATTTAAATAGAGTGTCACAATATGACCAATGAGCAACGAAGTAATTAAAATCGTTTCAGAGAATGTGGAATATTTATACGACGAAATTAAGGGGAGTTTACACAGTTGAATTTCGATGAAATAGTAAAGTTCGCGCGATAAAATTTCACGAAATTACGAATGTTTATCGTCCGTGGTTGCGGAACGAATTGAACTTCATTCAACCTGTGACTCCATTCAAGGTTACGCGAATCCGATACTTTTATTAATAGATCGGCTTTAAAATGCAAAGCGGTGGTCTTAGAAGATATTCACGGTCATTTTTTACCGTCCGCTGGTGGCGTTCGAGTCTGCGCGAAGATAAATTATTTTGTTTATCGGCCCCGCGACGATTAAAGACGAGCCGTGATAAAGAGCAAAAAGAGCGAGAGAGAAACAATGCAGAAAAGAAAGAGTTGAGATGCTATATAAACAATAATCGGGGAAATCGCGTGACAGCGTGCAAAGTACACGTTCCTGTTTATCGGAAGCTTCCTTCACGCGACGCTTGGGCCAAACACTTTAGATTCGATTATGAAAGTATTTGAATCGGGCTGATTTCGTTTAAATGTACAATGTGATATTTTTTCGAAAGCTCTCCGCAGTATTTTTCCAGTTTAAACAATCAGTTTTTCAAGGATATCTTAAAAACTATTACGATTGCTATGGAAATAATTATTACCAAAAATAAAGATAAAGGAATTTGTTTGCATGCTTCTTTTATAGCTAAGAATTTACAACGATTTTTACACATTGCTTGTAACGACTTGATAAAAATATCATCGTAACTTCTGTAATTCAATGAAGAACTACGTTAATTATAATTTATAGAAATTTAATATTTTAAACGGCAACAAATAATACAATATTATTTAAGTGACTTAACATGCTTGTCCTAAATTTGAAAAATTGCTTCGTAACCAATTTGTTTACGAACAAATTGTTCGTAAAATACAGATTTTATAACAGTCCTCGAATTTCCAGCAAAAACTTAATACACATGTTATCAGTATTTGCCGTACCGTTCACCATTGACGCAATCCATCATTAAACTGTGATAAGTCGATAATCATTAACCGAATAAACAACGTTCACCGCTGAATTTACGACCTTTATTCAAAGGCATTGGAAGATGGAAGCCATTGCTCTAATCTATCTCGAATATTAACACGAGTTCTAACAGTGCAAATATTTTTCATCCACTTATTCCGTTTACTTGAGCATTATTATTCCAACAAACGATTGCACGGAGCCGTGGTACCGAAAACCTCAAAAGAAATGTAACAAACGAAGATGTTCTGACACGCATGACACATGGCGCAAGCTGTTTCACAGTGTACAACCTCGCTTCGCGGTTCGAAGCCTCGATAGCATCGATGCGGTGCGAACACGTTAAGGGTCTCGTTCTTCGATAAAAAAAAAAAGGGAAACATGGCGTCCTGGGGATTTCCGATTTCCCCTTCGTAGGAATCCGTAGAGAATACGTGCAGGAACGTGCTGACTTTTCAATCAGATTGAATACGTTACAGATATTTGAATAGTATGAGTAAAGTACGATTATCATTCAAGTGAAGGATTATGTTCGTATAGATGCACTATTTAAATAATGCCAATATTGGTGATTTATTTAAATAGTATATGTTGCAATCGTTCGTTGTAATTAGAGTTGTAACTGCCAAATGTAATTGCACCTCGATTATAATTAAGTAATTGCAACGTATGAAACCTTCGAGTAATACTTGAATGTACTTGAATAGCACTTGAATGTTAAGTAATGCCAATATTGGTGATTTATTTAAATACTACATGCTGCAATCGTTCGTTGCAATTAGAGTTGTAACTGCCAAATGTAATTAGTTGAGTATTAAAAATATTCAACCAATAATGAAATTCTCAAGTATTCAGGTAGTGTCCCATTACGTAGCGATTAAATTATGCAATTATTAAAATAAAAATGAAATATTCGAGCAGTATTCGAGCGCAGACAAATAGAACGAGAAGTCTCCAGTTCTAATTTCACATCGTAGCATGATTCGCGTTTCTTATACGGAGGCACGGACACGTGATACTGGATCAAACGGGAAAGCAACTGTCCTGCACGCATACATATGCAAGCAATACGCATTGCATAATCATCGTAAATGCAACTATGTGTGCAGCACCGAGTCGCGTTGACGCATTGAAATTTTCGTTCCGCTTTCGAACGCGTTCGTCTCTCCTAATCGCAACGTTCGATTTACCTACGGAACATTTACATTCAGGATTTATGCACCTGACGTCACGCTATTGTTCGAGCGAAAATTCGTTCGCTTCGAAATTCTTTCAGCTGTTTTTCCCCGTCGTCGTATTACGAGATACAGGAAAGTAGCGTCGAATTGTCAGCGATGGTTTACGCGTTTGAACGTTTCTAAACGGGGGATTTATGGCGCAATGGAAATATAGAAATAACTTCGCCGATACGCGGTGCACGGCAAGCTTATCTGTTGACGATTCATCGCAAACCATGAATATTTGCTCAGGTGGTGGCGCGAAATGGTGTACTTGTGATCGATGGCAATCACTTCGTGGATAATGTGCTAGGCAGAAAAAGTTTGAAAGAAAAAGGAAGAATTTCTTAGAGCGATTAAATCATTAATCTATGTATTTGAACAATTACCTATTTAGAATTAAAAATAAATTGTTCATTTTAGTTATCAGTTATTGTTGCTGTTCTAGCAGTTTGTAACTGTACTTGTCAATTATTGGGCGTAGAAATTAATTCTCTATCTTCACATTTAATTATTTGAAACTGTAGTTTAAACAAAAATATTCACTCGCCATATTGTTACGTTAAGGTACTAACTTTGATGGAAAACAGATTGCTTCGACACATATTTTCACAATTATATAGAAATACTAAAGTAGATATTAAAATAGTGTTAAACATTGCTTTAGAAGGTCCCACCTCTCAAGAATTTCATTTCACGAACCGTCGAAGTAGCCGGACTTCCATTTTGGATTCCTCGTTTGTGTAAAATGGCGTTAGGAGCATCAATGGCAGTGGTGTCAATCTTAAATGGACAGGTGCATCAGTCACGCCTGTGTGTGAGAATCAGAGCTCGGTGGATTCATAACCGTAACTCGACTCGTCGTCTTCGCTGGTATCGCCTCGTTGTAAACAAGCCTAAGCAGCCCAGCGTACTTACCGGCGCTATGTAGGTTACTATCGCAACGGTCCGCGCCTCCTCGACCCGCCTTTAAGGTCGTTTACAGCGTAACCCGAACCCACTTCGTCTCATCATCCTTCCTCCTTTGCCTCATTTTTTTCACTGTTTTACCGTTTCTCGTAATCCTTTCGAAATGACTATTTCGCGCTGGGGAATCATGGCTGTCAGCTCTGCTCGCGCTGTGCAATGAATTTTTTAATTTCACGGGCTACTAAAGCGCTGAAAATACTTTACGCGCGCTTCGTAAATACATATTTCAAAATGTAGGATACGAGATAATTTTTATTAAAATTGAGGCATGTACTGCAAGTAGCTTTAGAAATTACTTTTTTAGAATTTTCACGTAGTTATGCAAGCAGGAATTCTAAGAACAGTAATCTTCCATATTGCGAAATGTTCCAATCTTGTTACATCGCATGGGTTAAAGAAGAATAGTATCGTTCTTTTCTGAGATTTCTTGGTTGAAAACCGAGCAATTAAATTTTATAATCGAGATTGAAACTTTTTTGTTAGACGGAGTGTCGTAATAGAATCTCCACGGCCGTGCTTCGATTTCTTTTACCGTTGTAAAACAGCCGTCGACATAAGAGCTCTAATGTCACCGTTCAAGTCGCACTGCTTACTGCTTCCCACAACAAAAGTAGCCGGGATTACCCGGCAGGCGTCATTACCCTGCTTTCCCCTACGAGAGCATCAAACTTATCATTTTCTGAGTGGTTATCCTTCCAGCCACGATCTCGGGAGGAATGCTTCCACTGAAAATGCGTTTCGTTGAATTTTTAAAATAACAGGTATTTAATTTCCATTTCCACAGCAACTAGACAAAATTATTTATTGAAAATATGTAATAATTTTTCTGACCGTGTAATTTCACATGCAATCGACCGCATTCAAAAGATTTCAAAATTACTGCTCTCGGTGGAAATCAAACCGATGCTGGTTAAGCGCCGTTTGTCGTTTGTGTAACTCATTATCTCAATGACGTTTTGAAGAACGGTTCAGGGGAAAAAAAAAACGAATGAAACGTTTCCATGTCGAGTGCTTGAACTCTTGCAAATATTGACCTAAAATAGAACTATAAAATGCGCTCTGTTAACGACAACCTGTCGCGTAACATATGATTTATCATGCATTCGCGTTTGGAAAATTAGATTTGCACGTTTCAGAGTCTGCCTCGTGTCTGCTTACGATTTATTCGAGGTATTGAACACGACATGAATTTAATTAATATTGAATGTAGTTTTTTTGTTAATTCTGTTTATTCTTCTATACCGTGGTTAGCTTACTTTTCATTCGAGCTTCCAACTATTAATTAGAATAACACGTTTCAAGGTAGCTCTACGTCGATTTAGAGCGAGCACATGCCTACCAGAAGCGTCGTTCGAATTGGTTACACGCGCTCCATCGTTGGGCCGAGCATTCGCTCGCCACTTTCATGGAACCTCCACAATTTACGGTCTATCTCGCGAGAAAACGTATAAAGATACAACGTCGCATTGTGACCGCATAACGCGGTCCCCCTGGCACGGGTTCCTCTTTCAGCTCGTGGCGCACGCGCTCGGCAACCTCGTGGCTGCACTCGACGCACTTAGTCTACGTCGTTAGCTGCGCCATTAGCTTGCATCCAAGCCTTCCCGTTCGTAGTAGTGGGCTGTACGTGAACGTGGACTATTGCACACAACCGAACGTGCTTTGCGAGCCACCCGAGCGGTGGCGTGTCACGTGACACGGTCTCGCGGGTATATAAAGGCGGCGGACGGCTAGTAGAATCAGCCATTCGCGCACTGGCTCCGAAGTAAGCGCCACGACGCGCCTTCGACTCCCACCGGAGACAACGATACAGGCTCGGTGGTAACTGACCTCGTGGCAGCGGCCAGGAAACCATTCAGGAAATGGCTCGAAAAAAAAAAGAAAAGAGGGAAATCCCTCAGGCGCCACTTGGCCGAGTGAGAAAAGTGAGAACGGAGCTCTCGGGGCACGTGAACATGGCTAGCGTACTCGAGATAAGGCTCGCGTGCGAATCGATTACGGTCGGTCATCGGTTTCGATGACTGGCAAAGAGAAATGACGTAGCCCAACCCACCGACTGCATCGTCATAGATAAACGGGCGGCACGCACGCGCAGAACGTTGCCCCCGCAGGAACGAAGAGTTTCGAGGGGGCCACGCGTGCCCGAAGACGCGCATGCCGCTAGGATCATTCAAGAAGCGATTCGGGTTAACCCGCACGCGACGAATGTTTCGGGGGAATCTGGACAAGGCGCTCGCAGGCTGCTGGAATAGCAAGGAATGGTGGTATTATAAAGAGATGGAGAGATTGCGAGTGCTTGAACTCGATGATTTCAGAAGTTACTCGACCGATTCGGATGGGACTTTCATTCCTGGGTTCCTTGGAAATCTCAGTGTTGTAGGACTAGTTTTGTCACGGTATCTCCATTTGGGGACACAACCGTGAACGGAACTGTTGACGAGCCGTAGAAAGGATACACCCTGTCTAATTGGAACTGTATTTACTTGCAAATAATTGATTTCTCTCTATCCGACACTTTGTCCGTTAATTTATTAGAGACTGCAAGGACATTGGAACGGTTAAAAACGGATTCAAAGCATTTAACTTAACAAGCATTCGTGTAATACAACTCACAGGCCCAGATTGTTCTCCATTCTCTAAAACTATATTAGATCAGGCCTGGTTGTCACGCTCTCTCCTAAACACGTGAGTCTCTCTTCTAGCTCAACCGCACACGCTGACTAATCTGTTACAGATATGTCGAAATTACTCGCTCCGCTCAACAAGTAAATTCCGCCTTTACGCTGGCACGAATTGTCAAGAAAAAACCTCCTCGAACCAGGTGAAAAACATGTCTCGCGGCCCAAGGAGACCCAGAGGGGTGGAATGAGGTTTACGTGTCCCGAGTGACAAAGCAGCGAGGCCGGCCATCTATAGTAATTTAGTATAAATGTATGCTGATTGCAGATCACTTATCCAGGACAACGCTAGGTAATTCAGCTAGCACAATGTACCTCAACGGTAGTTTCTAAACGCTACGCGATTCGCAAGACTCCTAAGACTAACAGAGAAACGAGGTCACGTGGCGTGAGTCGAGCAGGTGAACTTATACACAGTTTTTGGGTTGTAGTTGGGTTGGGTTGGCAGTTTTTGGTGGGAGGAATATGACCGAGACCGAAGAACACAAAATAATGTTTCTACTATTCCTCGGCTGACTAACAGAGCCACTCATTTGTTTGGGGGTTTCAACTGCTCCAGACGAAGAGGTTTAACGACTCAAAGTGAGCACTTGAACTTTTATAAATTTTTTTGGGTTGTGCATACACTAAGATATTTGATGGGAGGAGATTAACTCTAGCTTTTAGTGACTAGGTATACATGTTGAGACACATGAAACACGCGAGACTTGAAAGTACCATGTTCGGAGACCAATGAACACAAAATAATTTTTCTAATATTTTCTTGACGACTAACAAAGCCACTCATTTGTTTGGGGGTTTCAACTGCTCCAGATGAAAAGATTCATCCACTAAAGGTGAGCAAAGGCAACCAAGAACCTGGCCATCCAACAGACCACCTAACCAATCGCCTACAGGATGGGCAATGGGTTTAGACTGGTTTCGGGGTTCTTCGTAATTAGAACGAGACCCGGCAGCCTGTCGAGGATTATATAGAACGACCTGGTCGGATACTTCGGAGGCGGAAAGATCCACCACGATCGAGATCTGACTTTATGCGCATACATTTGTCGCGTCTGGTGGCACACGGGCGAGTCCCTCCGGAATTCGTGACGAAAGACGACACACGAACGCGACGCGTGTGGTAGCCACAGCCGTGCATCATCGGTTCCAAGGCTCCCCGGAGCACTGCCACTCGAGGATTTCAACTTCTTTTTGCCGTCGTTCAAGGCGAACCCGTGTGGAAAAAACCTCCCGCGTGCAACGACGTAGACGCGAGCCACAGGACGGAAAATGTACTGACCCATTGACTCATGGGGGATTTCCGGCGTTAGCGTGCAATTGCTACGTGCTTGGTAGCCGCAACGCTCGTACGTCATCGTTCCCGCGACGTCCTTAGATGTTGCCTTCCATTTGGTGATCCGTGAATGGAACTCTAAACAATTCGCAGCAGGCACGACGTTTAGTCATCGTGATCAGGTCTGGGTTAAGGCGCCGAGCTCCGAGGGCAATAGGAAGCTGCAGAAATATGGAGAGCTGGGGGAGGAAAATAGTATGCAAGGTTACTTCGTTTACGAATGCTGGATCGAAGTACTCCGAATTGTTTGATGCGTTGACTGTCACAGGTGACAGGACTTATGGAGCTAAGACAGTGGTCAGGGTGAAATGTTGAAGACGATATGTTTCGATGGGGTTTATTGAACCATAAACGATCTAACATATCGACTGCCATGTCATGGACATATACAGTCGGTTGTATAAATATTCGTACCCTCTATGTCTATCGAAGAAATTTGTTTAAATTAAATGGTAGGTTTGACGATGTACATATATTTGTATAAATATGTTGATGTTTATATAAATATATTCGCACAGGAACCAATTCAAAATAAAACTTGATATATTTATTTTACATATTTTTAGAGTAGATTTAGACTATATAAATTAAAGTTGATTACCTTTAATGTTAACCTCTTATTTATTTTCTTATTAGTTTCTGTTTTAAATTGGTACGAATACTTCTTACACTGACTGTATTTATAATGAAAAATTCATTTGGTAATATCAAAACTATTATTTAATTTAGTCAAACTTCTTCTGTAGGCGACAAAAATATTTACTGGCGTGTAAACTATACTTTTGGTTATCTAGGTTGTGTAGAACCTATATTTTGACTTCGTAGAAAATGGTCAGAAATGAAAAAGAAGGTATATCACTCGCTTGCTTGAAGAATCGATGGTACACAGTTCAGAGTCTAGCTGTATTACGTTACGTAGACGTGAAGACGTGTCGGAGGGGAGGGCTATACGAGACAGTGTTATTTAACGTTTCAAGAATTTCTGGGAAGAAGGAAGTTGGGTACGAAGATTCGGGCGAAGGTACGCTTATAATTAGCCGATCGACTGAGTCAGCTGCACTGCTTTGAAGTTCGGTTAGCGAGCATTTGCATCAGCTCGAGTAGTTCTACTTGAAATATATAAAGCCCTCGTGTAACACGATTTCATGCAACACAGACTTACTATCCGCATTCCTTGACAAAAACTTTCATGATTTTTATCAACGTATAAATTTCCTTATCGGTCCCTGAAAGCCGCTCAGAGACACGTGCACTCTCGCGTCTTCTTTAACACGTTAATTCCCAGACTAATACTCTTGAGAATATCTACGGTGGTTAAATTTTCTTTACAGACTACCGGAAACTACATAACCCTTTATCGCGGTATTTATTTTTGTATCGTTTTAAAAATTCAACAATTTCATTAACATTCATTTTCGTTGACTTTGAAAAGCACTGTACCCATGCATGGGTAACGCGGCGATCAACGCGTGAACGCGGTCTTGCATCGAGGTTACCATAAACGCGAGGACCAGTGGGAGTCCGAGTTGCCCTCGAAGAGATTTCCCGAAGGCGAACGGTGCGAAAGTTAATCGCGACCTAGACATCACCGACCACTCGAGACGTCTAAATTTACACAACGGACGCATTGTATCCGCGTTTCTGAGGAGCCCGAATAGCACAGGCGAACGGTGGAACGCTCAAACGAAGAAACGATCGGGACGATTTCGCGACCGCCCCGGCGCGAGTCTGCTAATAAAAGACGTTGCGCAATCGTGGACGTTGGTGTTGCGCCGCAGATAATAATAAGAACGTTACAGCCAGCGGGCACACTGGCTGCTAAGATGACAGGGGGGTGGGAAGGCAGCAGGGGGTCTCGATATCGTCGAAGAATCGCTGTGTGCATACGCGAATGCACAAACGTAATAATTTGTCGCGGTCGAGTCGTCGCGAGTCGCTATTGGCCGCGCACCGGTGCATTGGTGCATTGGTGGAACGAAATCGAGGAGAAACTCTCTCGGGCTGAACCGCCGCGCTATTTACGGGGTTCCTTACCGAACGAGTTAGTGGGTCGACACCCGGAGGACTCTGGAAAACGTACACTGTCGCGACGATTAACACTTTCGACCCTAATAGGACTTACAGTCAGTCGCATAAATATTCCTCTATGTCTACTGAAGAAATTTGTCTAAATTAAATGATAGGTTCGATGTGCCCAAATAAGCATTCGTTGTAAACATTTATTTGGAAACATTAAACTTACCATTTAATTTAAACAAATTTCTTCAATAGACATAGAGGATACGAATTCTTATGAGACTGACTGCATATGTCTGAGGGAATATCTCTGGGTGCCAATTAAAATTGAGACCTATAAGGAAATTCTCTAATGACTCCAATTATATCGAGTCTGTCTGGAAAGTCCGTGCCGATTTTTAGTAGGCGGTACAGGTCTGAATATATCGGAATGGCTGAAAACGAATAAAATGTGTACATTCTTTAACGGTTGGACAGGTCGTGGAACAAAATGGTACATATATAATTCAATAAATATACATGAAAATTCAAATATGCCTTTGAATTTTTCTTAAAAATAGGCATGAACTACTGAACTAATCTAATAAATGTAAGAACACAGAGGCATAGAATCAACTACTGCACCTAATAACAATATAAAACAAAAAAATCCTTATCTAACTCGTCTCAGAGTAAATTTGACGATCGCTAACGAAACTATACTTCTCCCAAAAAATTTGTTAGATATGTGGGTGGCATCTCCTGTCCTCGCCACTAGAGGGACATCGCGCGTTTGCGCGATTCTCACAAGTGAAATGCTCTGTCTGCCTAACGTTCGTATATAAGCCAATCCGACCGACCTCCAAATATCCTGGCGTCTAAGGCACGGGCCTCCTAGTTAGCCTTATTGACGAGTCCATTGACAAGACCAGGTCGAAACGCTCCCTTTTCTTCCTTAAGAGACACCGCCACCCCAGATAATTTTGTCTCGATCTGCAGGCAATTCTATGACAAACTCTCTTGGCAATGCTTCTCGGTGTTAATGTCGACCCTGAACAATTCGCGAAACGAGCCGTGGATGCATCGCTGGGCGCCGGTGTTCACGCGTTCATGCGCGCATAGGTCGTTTGAAAAGAGGGATAGAGGAGGGGGAGACAAGTTAAAAGAGAGAGAGGGAAAACCGCGAGATAGAAGCGCATGGACGGAGGTACGGTGCCAAGGTAAAGAAAGTGAATTTCCGTTTTCTCGGCGTTCCCTAGAAGGCCTCGGCGAGCCGGAAGTAATTACGATCGGATTTCTCGCGGCGAAGACTCCGCTTTTGCCACACGAACGAGAACCCCGTATTGTAGCGGGAAAACCATATATACAGGTTACAATCAATCACGGCTAACGACTGCCGGGAAGTCGTTCTTCGATATGCCTCCACGCGCCGGTATCTCCGTCTTCATCTGTCCCTCTACCCCCAGCGACCTTTCCTTTCTACTGGGAAAATCGCACCGCGTGTCACGAGTGCGGGAAAGGCGTACCGCGAACGTTCGAGAGTGTCGCAGAACGTGCGGATGTTCTCGAGTTAATCTCCGTTATAATGGATATCATTCAAAAATGCTCGTTTTTGTAAATTTCTGATGATTTCTTCAACTCTGAGGTGGAGTAAACCGTTCAACAGTTCCGTCTGCTCGCTGTTTACGAGTAAAGTTACAGTAAAGTCTCCTTAAATGCACGCATTTCTCTACGATAAATGCACAGGTCCCCACCACTGGCGGGTATAGTCCTTGAGGGGTCCAGGAGTTCGATCGCCGAGTAGTCTAACATGATCCAGAATCAGATACCTCGCTGGGACAATGCTAATGGCAACGATAAAACTTTGTTTTATTATCCTGGTATTTTTGCTCCGTCTTCATTATTCGCTGTCTTTCTTCATATTCGAAGCTCCTCGACCCGAGCTTATGAATTTAACAAGACTTGGTCTGTATAGACTTGGTAAATACTACTGTATTTACAAGTTTACAGATCCACATTTTGAACCCATGCCTGCAGATGCATTTTATAGCCGTCGAAATTGTTTGATCTTGATGACAGCCGCAGCGAACATGTTAAACACAGATCGAACGGTTGTTAACGCTAATGTTGTAACGCTGTTGCCGTGCGAGCCGTCGATTACATAGTTTGCGTAAACGTTCGCGGTAAATGTTCCGAGATAAACGCGGACAACGGGGCGTATTTGAAGCCTCGCGTTTTATCCGCGCTTAAACGTATCGCAATCGTTTCGAACGTAATTTCGCGTCGTTTCTTGTGCCGGTAAAACTTTCGACTTGCATGCTTCGGGAGCGAAGTTAATATCGTCCATTCCGGACGGTGCGGCACGTGAAAGTGTACAGTCTGTCCCCTGTTGTGTACCCAGAGCCGTTTCGAGGAGGCAGGGGAGAAAAAACACGTGGATCTTATTAAATAATTTTAACACGGTTTTACGTCGAGCGACGGAAAACGATCTTTTGCAACCGAATGGAACACTTGTGCGTAAAACTTGCTCCCCGTCCTTTTCCAGACCGTTCTCCGTCTCGTTCCATCCTCCTGCGACTCCCACCTTCTTCGTCAACATAATGTTCAGCTTGGCAAACAGCGACAGGCACGAGCATACGAAGGACGCACCCACATAGATAACAAACTCGTTTGCACCGATACGTACTTACACGTCTCTCTCTCTCTCTCTCTCTCTCTCTCTCTCTCTCTCTCTCTCTCT